GAAGTACATCGACTTCGTCTCAAATGAGACAATCCGCACTTACTGCGACCACATTGCAAGGGTATCCCAGGCAATGCAAGAAAGACGGCTGAGGTGGTTTGGACACGTTCTTTGCCGTCAACCTCACGAACTCAGTGTTACTGCTGTCGACCCGAGACTGTTAACTAATTGGAAGCGTCGAAGTGGGGGTCGGCTAAAAACCTGGCTCGACCTAGTCCGTCGGGGCATGGAAGTGGTTCTTGGCCCTTTGGTATTCGGTCTCCGGCACTGAGGAAGAGGATGGCTCGAAATGTCCAGATCTGCTGCCGCGGATCCTCGTGCGTGGAGAAGCACCGTACGGGACATCATTAAGGTCGGCTGGATCAGTCATGATCGCAGCCGCAACAACTACAAGTGGCAATTAGATCGAGCAGTAAATCCTACCAAAATAATATTAGATACGGCATCTGGACCATGACAATTGGGATGGCGTCGTGATCAAATTGTTGCTGTTGTGTTATTGTAAAGGTGTGCATTTTGATAGCAAACTTTGTATTCAGCGAAGTCCGTCGGACGAAACCGATAGCAACGGCCGGGGTAGTGTACGTTGACTCGGAGCGCCAATTAACTATGCGGCGCTTTCGCCGCTGCACCACTCAGCTTCAAACAGCGAAATCCCTAGCCGGACGGGGCTGGTGGTTGATGTGTGTTTTTGACCATCCATTTCGATTAAGTGCACCAGCAAGTTGGTATAGAAGGTGACAGTGTCAGGGGGTAGGTAATAGTGATAGTGGACGTAGTTGGCGCCAACCGCACTCTTCACATTAGCCCGGGGTCAAGAAGACCAAACGCGATCCGGCGTTGGCCGCATTCTCCACTGTAAGCCAGGAACACCGCCTAAGGGACAGTAGACTTTGTGTGGGTACTACTGTACTATCTACACTCATTCACCGTCAATAGGTGTCAAGACAGGCTCAAGGAGGCCAAGACGGATACGGCTACTCCTACTTTACTACTACTAGCTAGCAATGTGGCTGTATGTTAGTAGTACTGATACAAACACTGACGCTACCATTTGTCAGAGGTGACGCAGATTATAGCCGTCGCTGGGTCTCATACCACCTTACTCTTAACAAGGAGTGTGAATCTGGGTTTAAACTATTCTGAGTTAGTACATGTTTTGGGCTCTGAGCACAGTAGAGCTCCCCTTGGTTTCCCCCCTCTCAACTCCATCCATCAGGCTGTGTCCGTTTTTACTAGGTTCAGACTACGATACTGCTGCTAGACGTACCTGCTTCTAATAACGTGCTTAATTCTAGTAAACATGCTTACTAAAGTGTGTGCTTTTTTAAGAAGCCGGCACCCGCTTTTTACTCCCAATCTGTATGAGGTAAAGTGATTAGCTTATGGGTTAAATAACGTGTTAGTAAATAATAGCACAAGTCCTACCATGCCTTTATGTCGTAAAGTTGACCGTCTCTAGACTGTTTATAGCCCTATTGCAATATCTAGCTGTAGTTTGAAATTTACAGTACGTCTAATCATATCGCCTCGATCCCAGCGGGGAGTGTTAATCCTGGATTTATGCTATTCCGAGTAACTACATGTTTGAGGCCCGGAGTATATTAGGGCTTTCCTTGGTTTCTGTCCTCTCACCTCTGTCCACCAAAAGCTGTGTCGCATTTTTCTAAGTTTTGGCTAGGATACTGCTGCTAGAGGTAATATGCCACTGCTAAGAGTGCTTATTCAAGTAATCATAGTTACAGTAATCACCAGCTACTAAGCCCACGGTTAATAAGCCCAGCCGCTTATTAAGCCCAATTTGGTCTGGGCCCAGGTGGGCTTAATAACCGGCGACTACGGTATTAAGCCCACGGTTAATAAGTCCAGCCGCTTATTAAGCCCAATTTGGTCTGGGCCCAGGTGGGCTTAATAACCGGCGACTACGGTATTAAGCCCACGGTTAATAGGCCTAGCCGCCTATTAAGCCCAATTTGGTCTGGGCCCGAGGTGGGCTTACCAACCGGCGACTACTGTACTAAGACCAGCGGATAGTATATTCTAGTAATTTATTCCTATAAATGTATCAATAGCTGACATGCATGCTATTATTGCAACAAGCATAACAGATGGGAATATGAGTTTAC